TTGTAGACCAGGCTGGCCTCCCCAGTGCTGGGATTACAAGCAAGCACCACCACGCTCATGTCTTACATGAGCAAAAGCCTGTACATCTGATATAAAACTCGTAACATCTGCCATGCATTCATTTTTTTAATTTTTATTTTTTAAATATTAGTTACAGTTTATTAACTTTGTATCCCAGCTGTATCCCGCTCCCTCATTCCCTCCCAATCCCACCCTTATCTCCTTCCTGCCCCTTTCCAAGTCCACTGATAGGGGAGGACCTCCTCCCCTTTCATCTGACCCTGGTTTATCAGGTATCTTCAGGACTGGCTGCAAAGTCCTCCTCAGTGGCCTAGCAGGACTGCTCCTCCCTGGGTGGGATGGGGAGGAGGAAGGCCAAAGAGCCCGCCATTGAGTTCATGTCAGAAATAGTCCCTGTTCCCCTTTCTAGGGAAACCCACTACTATGGGCTACATCTGAGTAGAGGTTCTAGGTTATATCCATACATGGTCCTTGGATGGATAAACAGTCTCATAGAAGACACCTGTGCCCAGATATATTTGGTCCTTGTGGAGCTCCTGTCCTCTCCAGGTCATATTAACTCTCCCTTATTTCATATGATTCCCTGCACTCTGCCGAAAGTTTAGTTATGAGTCTCAGTATCTGCTGTGATACACTGCTAGGTAGAGTCTTTCAGAGGCCCTCTGTGGTAGGCTCCTGTCCTGTTACTTGTTTTCTCCTACATCCAATGTCCATCCCATTTGTTTTTCTAAGTGAGGATTGATCATCTTACTCCGGGTCCTTTATCCTGTTTATCTTCTTTGGGTGTGTAGATTTCAGTATGTTTATCATATCTTATAGGTCTATATAAGTAAGAAATACCATGTGTGTTTTTCTCCTTCTGGGATAACTCACTCAGAATGATCTTTTCTAGATCCCACCTTTTGCCTGCAAATTTCATGATTTCCTTGTTTTTAATTGTTGAGTAGTATTCCATTGTGTAAAAATAGCACAATTTCTGTATTCATTCCTCCGTTGATGGACATCTGGGTTGTTTCCAGGTTCTGGCTATTACAAATAAAGCTGCAAGAAACATGGTTGAGCAAATGTCCTTGTTATGTACTTGAGCACCTTTTGGAAATAAACCCACACACCTATGAATACTTGATTTTTGACAAAGAAGCCAAAACCATTCAATGGAAAAAAGACAGCATCTTCAACAAATGGTGCTGGTCCCAACTGGATGTCTACATGCAGAAAAATAAAAATAGATCCATATTTATCACCCTGCACAAAACTAAAGTCCAAGTGGATCAAAGACCTCAGCATAAAACCAGACACTCTAAATCGGTTAGAAGAAAAAGTGAGAAAGACCCTAGAACTCATTGGCACAGGAGACAACTTCCTGAACAGAACACCAACAGCACAGGCTCTAAGAGCAACAATCAATAAACGGGACCTCATGAAACTGAAAGGCTTCTGTAAAGTAAAAGACACTATCGTCAGAACAAAACGACAGCCTACAGACTGGGAAAGGATCTTCACCAACCCTATATCTGACAGAGGGCTGATATCCAGCATATATGAAGAACTAAAGAAGTTAAAAAGCAATAAATCAAGTAATCCAATAAAAAAAATGGGGTATGGAGCTAAACAGAGAATTCTCAGTAGAGGAATATAGAATGGCAGAGAAACACTTAAAGAGATGCTCAACCTCCTTAGCCATCAGGAAGATGCAAATCAAAACAACCCTGAGATTTCACCTTACACCCATCAGAATGGCCAAGATGAAAAACTCAAGTGACAACACATGCTGGAGAGGTTGTGAAGAAAGGGGAACCCTCCTCCATTGCTGGTGGGAATGTAAACGTGTACAAGCACTTTGGAAGTCAATCTGGTGCATTCTCAGACAACTAGGAATAGCGCTTCCCCAAGATCCAGCCATACCACTCCATGCATTCATTCTAATGCAGCAGTTACTGCCGCTACTTAAGGAAACCCTGTATGCTAAGCACTGCATCACTTCACTGTATAAATGAAATATCGAGTTACAGGTTTTATCATGAGATTCCTTTTTCACATGCTGAACCGGCAAACCTTTCATCAAAGCATCTGTGTAAGAGAGTCTGAATCTAGTGTTCACATTCCAAATAGGCTCCCCTCATAAAGGTCAGCAGTGTCACTTGCTCCACAGGAAGAAACCTTGTCACTGAATACAAGTTTTTGTGTAAAGACAACAATAAAACCCTTGAAAATGTCCTCTAGTTTACAGGGAGTGACTGCAATCCTGGATTTGCCTTTCTTAAGTATTTCTCATTGTCTGGGATAACAAGTAAATGTTACCTATTTTTTTTTTTCTCCTTCAAAAAGAAACTAAAAAAAAACTAAAACTGGGATGTCTGTTATATTCTGGCAATATTTAGAATATTTATTGTTTTAATGACTAAAGTTTAGTCACAACTCAACTTCTAGAAAAGATAATAGATTTAAATAAATCTAAATAATTTCATAAAAGCATTGCTACTAGTTTGGACAGTTTAATACTTTCGTGCTTTAGACTCTTCACTGTGTAGTTATGCAGTGTTTGTAACTCTTACTGCATGGACATTAAAGCTCTGGGAAGTCAAGCTGTAGCCTTCAGCATCCTGCCCCTATGTTACTAATCAAACAGGGGATCTAACAGCAATGTTCATATGACCCAATAGCACCACCTTGTTGGTATCTAGTCTTCAGTTTAGTTTAGTTTTGGAGACAATCTTGCCTTTTATTTGAAAACTGAATTACGCACAGGTGCTGGCAGGTACTACATCCTTCACGCAAAGCCTCCATCAGTATAACATGGGGAGGGCACCATCTTCCCTCATACAACCTTAGAGAGGGTCTTAGTGTCCCTGCGCTGTCTGATTGCCTTGAGGCTACACACATCATTCTACTTTTCTATTACATCAAGGAAACTTCATTGATCCTTAAACCCCAGCAACTCTTATAAATCCTATGCTACCACAGAGGCCTTGCTCAGTTCGTTGCACACACCTAACACAAATGCAGAGAACTGAAGCACCAACTTCAACAGCATATTGCTAAGTGACCTCTGGATAGGGAGAAGGACCTGCCATAATGGTGTTGGGTATGTTAATGCTGAGGCCTCTGAGATGGCTCAGAGTATCTGAGGCTCGACAGGGAGCTCTGGCTTCTTTCTCTCTTGGAGCTGAGAGGTAGGAGCTCATCTTTTGATATCCAGACAGTGAAGGTTGAATGAGTACAAGGATCTGGATTTACAAAAGAAAAATGGATTTTTTATTTTCATCATCTTCTTCTTCTTCCTATATTCCCAAGTTCAGGTTATGAAAAAAAAAATAATAAGAATAAGATTACAGGCAGAAATTAGTTTTCAGCTGAACTTTCTATAGAATGTCACTTAGGAAACTATGTAATGGGGCAGAAAGTTGGGAATGCCAATATCCTGAGGCAGAACAGATGAAGCAGTTTCTAGAGTTTTCCCAGCAGAATAATAATTTCAAATGGAAAAGCAATGAATCACAGCAAGTTTCCTTCTTGCTGAGAGTGGCCCGTTCACAGCCTCTCCTAGAAAGGTGTCAAACAGGAGGCAGGCTGTCTCCCAGAGAGCTCTGGGGAATCTTTCAGATGGGAATAGAGGCTAGCAAGTCCCAAGATTAGTTCCCAGGAGTTATGTATATATGGTGGGGATAGTGTTCTACATGTATACAGAGAGATCAAAGGCACTGGGTCCCCTGTGTTATTATAGTTATTATAACTTGAGTTATTATGGGAGGCCATGAGCCATCTGACATGGATGCTGAGAGCTGAACTAAGTCCTCTGAAAAAGCAGACTGTTCTCTTCACCAGAGAGCTACCTCTCCAACCCTAAGAAATATTTACAGACTTCTCAGAAAGCTCAAGGATAACAGTGACAGCACAGGGAAGAGCTCACTGACTGTGGATCTCACACTGCAGCAGCTACACCCAGACCTACTGTCTTCCAGGAAGCATGTTCTAGTGCAGAACAAGATACCCCTGCCTGGATGGAGTCCCCAGTGAAGACTCGGACATGGCCAGTTAAAACTCCTTGCTGTTTCACATACACACCTCAGGTTTCTTCCAGCTCTTATTCACACTGTCTTAAAGTCAGAACTCTGTCATTTACACATAATTAATACTAAGGAGACTGGCAATAACATGGCTAATGTCCTCATTTTTTTAAAATGTTCATCAGGGACGTGACAAACTACAACACTTAGCAACACTTAGCAATTTTAAAGACTGAATAATTGCTGCTTTGAACTTTTGTTCTGGCACTCAAAAGAACCACACTATTCAGAAAAGATCATTATGACTTGAAAATTGTTCTTTAAAATGCTTTCAACAGATGATGCCCTTATAGGCTCCAAATACTGTAACAAGTTTCTTATTTTTGAGTACATGGGAAAAATTATATCTCAGAAAATAGTTTTTAATTTTGGAAAATGATCTGAATCAGAAATGTTTTATATCTTAATCTACAAAGGCATAAAAGACAAAGACAAATTAAAGCCACGCTTTCAGGTTCAGGACAGCTAGTACTTTGACTTTCAGCCCGTCATTCTCAGCAATAGTCATGCAAACAGATCCTTCTTCCTTCTATCTTCACTGTACTGATTTTAGTTCTCATTACAGTTTATCAGATGACTTTAGGTGTGTAACAGTTCAGAAACAGATACACCCTGGAAGCCCGCAAGCTCTGCTGCCATCCTGGACGGAGGCAATGATCTCCCTGGGCTTTAACCCCACTACCCAGGCTCTACTTCACAAGGACGTCTGATCTTCCAGTGTTCCCACCCCTTCACTTACAGGTATTTCTTTTACATCCTTTAGCCTCTGCTTTAGCCTCCTTTGGGGGACAAACAGGAAGGCCTATACAACTGTTGGTAAGGCTCCTGAACCAGCTTCAAGGCTGGCCTGACAACAGTGCTCCCCACTGCGTTTACTCAAAACATGTTCATGAGCATCTTCTAGTTTCTCACCTGGTTGTGGGTTCCTTTCTCTTCAGTGCTGGATCATCTGACATTATCTAGATGTATGAGTCAGCAAATCCATTCTCTTACTGAAGACCATGCCATTGATTCCACGTTTGCTCTAGTTTGAACACTGTAAATACCTACGTAAAGACAGGTTTTTGTGTAGACATGTTTTTGACTCCTATCAAGGAAGATGACTTCTGGCTTATGTGGCAGAAATGTTCAGTTCTTTAAGAACTGTCAAACTGTCTTCCAATGTGAACTGTATCATTTTGCTTTCCCATCAGTAATGAATAAGACCCTGCCAATTTATACTCTGTTGTATTTTGTGGTGTTAGGGAACTAACTAGGGCCTTGTATACTAGTCAAACACTCAACCATTAAGCTACAGTCCTAGCCTTTGGTCTTTTGAGGCACTGTTCCGCTATATAGCTCAAGTCAACATTGACCCCACTATGCAGCTAGCTGTGAACTCTTGATCCTTCTATCTCTGCCTCTATTCCCACAGTGGTGGGATTATAACCAGGCACCTGATACCAGGCTGCTGATACTCTTGCTAACATTCCATGCTATTCATATTCTGGACTGTAACCATTTTAACAGGTAAAGACTGGTACTAAAGCATTGTTTTAATTTGCATTCCCTTAGCTGAGCGTGATGGCACATGCCTTTAATGCAAGGGAGTCAGAGGCAGGCAGATCTCTGTAAGTTTGAAGCTAGCCTGGTCTACAAAGTCAGTCCAGGACAACCAAGGCTACACAAGAAAACCGTGCCTCGAACAAAGAAAGAAAAAAAGTGTGCATTCCCTTGATGACATATGCTAGAAGTGTCTTTCATATACTCATTTGCCATTTCTACATCTTCTCTGACAAGTTTTTGTTAAGGTCTTGATTTGGGGTCCTTTCCTGTTGCTGCAATAAAATCTTGACTGAAGCAACTCACAGGAGAGAGGGTCGACCTGCCTCACCATTCCGGGCAGCAGAAGCTGGAGGGAGCTGGTTACATCATACTCACAGTCATAAGCAGGGAACAATGAAGTAATGTGTGTGCGCCTGTGCCTGGCTTGCTCTCTCCACTCACAGGTGAGGATCCTCCTACCTCAACTTACTAAATTCTCCTCAGACATGCCCTCAGGCCAACCTGTCTATATGATCTCCACTTCCCACTTTGTTAGGCTGACAAAGCTAAGCATGAACACTACACAAAGAACTACAGTAATTAAGGGATTCAGAGTGGGATACTCTTTCCCAGGGAAGAGCACAGCAATACTTACCCAATACCAAATGGCCAGCCCTGAACACATACATACAAGTAACATTACACAGACTGAGCAGGGTATATATTCAGCAGGATATATGTGCACATATATGGCTATATATGTAACAACAATGAGAAAAAAGGCTATGAATTTGAAAGAGCAAAAAGGGGCATATGGGAGGATTTGGAGGGAGGAAAGGCAAATATGACAGAATTATAATCTCAAATATAAAATTTTTTAAAAACCCACTAGCCACCACACCTTTAATTCTAGCTCTCAGGAGGCAAATGCAGGAAGATCTCTGTGAGTTAGAGGACAGCCTGGTTTACATAGCAATTTCAGAACAGCCAGGGCTGCACACAGTCACACACACACACACACACACACACACACAAACAACAAAAACATAAAAAATAAAACAACAACAAAAACAATAACAAAAGACTGTGGAGATAGTAATGAGAAAAACCACTTGCTGCCAGAGTTTGAGCCCCAGAGTCCACTTGGCAGTGTGAGAGAATCAACTGCCAAAAGTTGTCCTGATCTCTACATATCACACACACACACACACACACACACGCATGCACGCACATGTGTACCTCCAAGGTAAAAAAGTGACAAAAATAATCAACAACCAAAACTAATCACCATCGCTTTTATCCCATTTTTAAATTGGGTTAAATTCTGTATTCGGTTTTAAGAATTTAGTACATTTTAGTACAGCCCTTTATTACGTCTTTCACAAATATGTTCTCCCAGTCTGTTCTTTTTCCACTCGCCTTTTCATTCATTTGATGGTATCTTTCCCGAGGCAGAAAAATACCTAATTGTAATAAAAATCTAGCCTCTTAAGCCTTCTTCCACACTGTGCCTTTGGGGTGGCCTCTGAGGTGGCCTAGAGCTTCTCCTTCCCTGAGGCTGTATCCCAGCCTTGCTGCTAATTGCTCATTACTGCTAGGAATATGTTGACAATTTCTGCAGAGATGATCATATAACCTTTGAAGATGACTTTAATTCTTCCTTCCCAAACATTATGTCTAGCATTAGCTAGGTAGGACTTCCAATGCACTGAGAGTCAGCATCTGCCCTGTGTCTCATCTGTGGGAAAGCTCCAAGTCTCATACCACTAAGTACAGTGCTAGATGTAGGGTTTGGAGATGCTCTTTACCAAACTGAGGACTTCTCTTAATTCAGCTTGCTGAGGAGGTTGAAGCACTAATGAAGGCTACATTGCTGAGTGCCTAACATGACCATGGGCTTCCCCTCTCTAGCCTAACACTGCTGTTGTGTTATTCTTTTTATAAACAGGACATTTATTTGCCAATACTTTGTGGAGGACTTTTACACTACAATCCTGAGTTCTATACCTGTAGTTCTCTCATTGTTGTAAGGGTGTGGCAGAGTAACACTGGTCTCATAGAATGTGATAAGCATTCATCTGAAAGAGGCTGCTAGAACTGGTATAACTTCTTCCTTAAATGTCTGAGAGAATTCACCCATGCATTCATCTGTGCCTAGTGCAGGTTTATAAGGTTGGTTCTGGTTCTTATTCATCTAGATTATAAAATGTGTGGGCACAGTATAGTATTCTTTTTCATTTAATGCCCATGGGACCTGTAACAATGTCCTTTCATATATTTATATATATCATACATACTATCATATATACATATATATATACCGTCATATATATATATAAGACATAGGGAGACACTGTGTCTCCCTATGTTACCCAGGTTAGCCTGGCCTCAAATTCATAATCCTCCTGTTTCCACCCTCTAAGAGCTAGGATTTCAAGTATGGGCCACCAGGCCTACTCATTGATAATATTAGGAATCTGTGTCTTCCCTTTTCTTCAGCTGCCTAGAGATGTATTGATTCTACCAATCTTTCCAAAGAACTAGCTTTGAAGTTCCTGGTTACTGATTTCCCATTTTCAATTTCGCAGGCTTCTGCTTTAATTCTTTTCTTCTCATTACTTGAAATACCACTGCTCTTCTATCTTACTAAGGCGATCCATAAAGATGAAAGGTTTTAAACAATTATTGATAAATCCCAGAGCATCAGAATGCTGAGAACTGTAGAATATAGTTACTACAGCCAGGTGCATTATGTTTAGAATTTAAACATACATATGTGGTCACAGGAATTGTGTAACTGTTTTTGTATCTGTTGCAACTCTGTTCAAGTCTACAGGTCACATGTATCTCAATGTTGCAACACCTTAACTGCCTCTTTTTTTTTTAATAACAGTTTTTCATTTCTTGTACATAAGTATCCTAACTTTGTTCTTAAGACCATTTCGTCCTTTGCCATGTTCAATTCCATCCACAAGGCCTGTCAAGTCAGCAGGATGATACAGTTCATCAGTTTCTCCCTGGTACTCTACACCCACCCCTTTCCCTCAAACACTGCAGTTTCTCCTCCCCAGTGTCCTTTAATGTTCTCAGTCCCATCAGTCACCATACATAAAGGTTCCATGGCTCAATTCTCAAGTCCTCATTCTAGGTTCCAGTCTAACAACTTTAACACAACTGTGATGGTTTGGATATGAAGGCTCGGGTACTGAAGGCTCAGTTCCTAGCTGGTGCAGCTATCTGGGGAGACTGTATTTTCAGCACATGGATCCAGCCTGAAGGAAGTGAGTCATGGCAAGCATGTGACACTCTCTCTGCTTCTTGTCTCCAGGAAAGGAGCAACCTTGCTACCTGCTCCCACCTCCAGGAATGTGTTTCACAATGGCTCCAGAAGCCACAGAGCAAGGACTATGGACTAAGACCTCTAAACTAGAAATAAAATACATCTTTCCTCTCTTCAACATATTTATACCAAGAATTTTGTTATGTTATATGGCTACTACACGACCTTTCTGATAACTTCTGTTTCCAGTTAAACCTTTGTCTTGAACCCCACTCTCTCAATCTATTTGTACGGGCATCTCAACTATGACTAAAACTAAACCCAGTTTCTGCTCTGTGTGCCGCCCATTCTTACATCCACTTCCAATCTATCAGCAAATCCTTTCTAGAATATGAGTCCTGCTTACTATACTTATCCATACACACTTATCCATGGTTTTACATTTCATGGGTTTTGTTGTTGTTGTTTGTTTGTTTTTTGCTTTCAACACCCATGGTCAATCATAGTCCAAAATATAAACGGAAAATTCCAGAAAGAATTCATAAGTTCTAAAGCACATAGCATTCTGAATAGTGTGATGAAATCCCAAATGACCTAGCCCTGTGCCACCCCAGACATGACTCACCCCTTTTTAGCAGGCTCTGTTTGCAACAGTCATTTAGCTGCCATCAAGACCATCAGATTGATTGCCAGTGTTGGTAATGCAATGCTTGTGGCCCATGTTGCAACGCCTATATCATTCGCCTTGTTTCATTTCATCATTCGAGCATCTTATCACCTCAAACCCCACAAAGAAATGGGTGAATACAATATATATTTTTAAATAGGCAGAGACCATATTCATGTAACTTTTATTGTAGCATAATGCTACAATAATTGTCCTATTTTATTATTTAGAGTTGTCTCTTACTGCGCTTATGTTGAGAAGTAAATTTTATCATATGCGTGTATATAAAGGAAAACAGCACACCATGTAGGACTTGGTACTTACTATCCAAGGTTTCAGGCATGCATGGCATCTTGGATTGTGTGCTCCAGGAATGATGAGTAGCTATGGTACCTCCTAATTGGTCTCTCTGACTCCATCTTTGCTCTTACAGTCAGGCCTAAGCACATTAGGTCAGTTCTTCCTCTCATTCAGCTCCAATTCCTCTGGCCATCTTCTTCTTCATGAGTAAAAGCCAGCATATACTAGCATCCATTAAGCTTCTGACTTCATGCCTTTCTCTCTTCCTCTGCTCAGAGCCCATGGGCTCCTTGCTAGTCCCCTAACAGACTGGTGCTCTCTGGGTTTCTGTGTTTGCTATATACTTTCTGCTTGACAGCTATAGGGCTGCCTTCAATTTTACTTCAGTGCATTTTCTTGGACACCGTTTCTTACTGTAAAACTGTACAAGCTCCTTTCCCAGCACCTTCCACACCCTCACTACTTTATTTTTCTTCTTAGTAATTGTTACCATCTCACTGGATATATTTCCATTTTTAAACAAATTACTTTACTATTCTCGTCTTCCTCCAGAGGAATCTTAGCTCCATTAAATCAAAGACTTGGGTCACCTGTACGTCCATGGTTCTTAGAATTGCCCCACCATGAAAGACAGGCTGTGTCGGCTGCATGGATCCTGACAAGACAAGTTAAATCCTGATACGGCTAATGGAGTTGGGACTCAGTGCTGGTTGTCAACCTAACACAAGAAAGAAACACCTGGAACAGAGTCTCCGTGAGGAAGTATCTAAATTAGGTTGGCCTGTGGACACGCCTATGAGGGACTTCCTCAATTGGGATGGAAAGGCCCACCCTGTGGGCAGCATCATTTCAGGAGCTGGGCCCTAAAACAGAATGGTGAGGAGATGAAACTGAGGCCTATCAGGTATTAACTCCCTGCTCTCTGCTCTTGTCCATGGCTGTAATATGACTAGCTGCTTCAAGCCCCTGCCACCTTCCCTTCTTCACAGTGACAGACTGCACCCTGGAGTCAGGAGCCTTCTTCCATATGTTGCTTTGACCAGGCATTTTATCCCAGCAATAGTAAAGGGACACGCTCTACTGGCCTGATCTCAGGGAGTGGGAAATAACCACTTCTAATCTCATAGTGAAAATCCTTGATCTTGCAATCATTAACTCAATTTGCTCTACAAAATGTGCCCTGAATCCTTCATTCCTCATCATGTGACAGTTCTCTCCTATGCCTATCCAATACCCTGTAAAACATTAACTTATTGTCGGAGAAAAAAAAGATCTCTGTTTGGCAGAATGCTGCATGTGCAAGGTAAACTCACTAGAACTGCTGTGAAAATACGATTAACACAAAAATAATGTGTGTAGATAAACAGAGACCCACTTCTCCTTCAAATCAAACTGTAATGAAGTAGTGAGGACCCAGGACATTTAACTTTATTATACTACAAGGCTTAATGAACAAACTTGTTTTCTCATTAAACTCCCTTTAAAACTAAAAGGACAGTGGTAGAGGCTCTTGCATACTATCACAAACACAAGTCTAAGAGAAATCAGTTCTGGAGACAAATTGTATTAATAAACAAAAATCTTAAGGAACACATACCTTTGGGTGGTAACAGAAATGGGATTCTGGATGAGGTCTTGGGCGTCTTAGATCCCACTTAATCTTTGCCAACTGTTTGGACTTGGACAAATTAATTTATACTCCGTGCCTCAGTTTCCTTATCTGCAAATCAGAGATGGTACTTGTTAGGGTTGTTGCAATGATTTTTAAAAGGTACATCACTGGGCACAATATCTGACAAGATGACAGCCAACTGTTACTGTAACGTAAAAACCACCATACCACTGATAGCGCCTTAGGAAGTTCCTAGGTTTCAATGCTACGTTCTGAAGAGAAGTTACTCTTCAATGGTACATGAAGAGCTACATTCTTCAGCCAATTCTAAATTCTGTACAACGCTGTCAAGGATAAATGTCTTTTCAAGACAGTTGTTGGGAAATCTGGAGAGAAAACATCTGCTTTTTAACGACGTGTGTCAAGTGTGAAAGTTCACGATCACCTGAGGCCTACACGGAAAGTGTGCATCCTGTCTTACCGTGGCTATCGCTGGGCGGTGTGACAGTCTGGACAGCTCACATTTACTTCCACAGCTCCCACATACGCTCAGACTGCGGGCCACAGTCCCAAACTATGCTCTGCATCCGGGCGGGGTTGGGATGTAGCCATCCTGCCGGGGTGGGGCGTGGGCTGCGGGGGACTCCCCAATAACAGCGGGCATCCTCCGCACAACCTCACAGGTCTGACCCAGGCCCTCCCGCCAGCATCGCCCGCGGGGAAGCCGCTCGGACCCGCGCCTGGCTCCTCGACAGTCAGGGCAGATATCCCTGGCTCCCGCCCACTGTCCCGGCCCGTGCCACGGTACCTGAGTCTGAGGCAGCAGCAACTGCAACGGTTCAACCTCTCTCTCGGCGGCGGGCGGAGCTCGGGCAGCCAAAGAGATGGAGCTCCGCGAGACAGAGAAGCCTCGCGCTACACAGCGGATCGCCCCCTACTGGCGGGAGGCTCGTTATGGAGGTTTGGCGTCATCTGAATTAGACTAAGAAAGGCTTAGAGAGGTTTTTCCTGTCTGAATTCACCACCATCGCGCGCTTTCACCTCTTTTTCTAAATATACGTCTCATCCACTCCACTAAGTAGAAATTTCAAAGGCAAAAACAAATTTATTAAGTCTCACGGGCACTAATTTGTTAGTTTCTGACTGCCAAGGAGATGTTTAAAATTTTGAATACACATGTTAGCAAGCAATGGCTGACAGTCGTCCTACTGAATAATAACATTATTATGGTGGATTGAAGGCTTAAACCCCACTTGGTAGGGTCCCTTGACTTATTTTGCCATGTGTACAACCAAATCTGAAAAACAACAATACACCTATTTGCTGGGACTTTCTTTCACATAGCTTCTTTTCTCTTTTTTCTGTCAACCCATTCCTACAGCCAAGGTGACTTCTTTTAAACACTTAATGTTCTTCCCCTGAATTTCAGCGCCATCCACCCCACCAAAGGACCCTGTAGGGTGTCATCTGTTCAAGGATTCAGTCTAAGTCCATCCTCTCCCCAAGCAATGTCAGATGTTTCCGATTATTGCCTGCCTTGAGGAAATCTCACATTCCCTTCACTCGAGTGCAGGGAACCTTATGAAAGAAGGGGGAGATAGAAAGGCCTGGAAGGGTCTGGAGCTCCACAACCGAACCAAAAAATCTGGGCCCAGGGGTCTTTTCTAAGACTGATACTCCAACCAGGGACCTTTCGTGGACATAACCTAGAACCCCTGCACAGAGGTGGCCCGTGTCAGCTCAGTCTCCAAATGGATGTCCTAGTAAGGGGAACAGGGGCTATCTCTGACATGAACTCAGTGCCAGGCTCTTTGATCACCTCCCACTGAGGGAGGAGCAGCCTTACCAGGCCACTGAGGAAGACAACGCAGATAGTCCTGATGAGACCTGATGGGCTAGGTCAAATGGAAGGGGAGAAGGACCTCCCCTATAGGTGGTCTGTGGGCACAGGAGGAGATGAGGGAAGGAAGGTGGGATTGCGAGGGGTGGGCTACAGCTGGGATACAAAGTGAATAAATTGTAATAAATAAAAAATTATATTAAAAAAAGAATTACAAAGGGAGCCTGGCACGGTGGCATACACCTGTAATCCCAACACTCAGACAAGCAGAGGCAGGTGGATCTCTGTGAGCTCAAACCAGCCTGGATTACAAAGCAAGTCCAGGACAGCCAAAGCTACACAGAAAAACCATGTCTCAAAAAGTAAAAAAAAAAAAAAAAAAAAATTAAAGTATGACACCTAAGACTGACCTCGGGCCTCTACTTGCACATCATTGACCCCAAGGCTGCCAATCATTTTAGGATTATTTTTTTAAAGGTTTTATTTGTTTTAACTTTTATATGCACCTGTGTTTTGCCTGCATGTATGTCTGTGTGAGCATGTTGGATTTTATGGAACTGAAGTTACAGACAGCCATGTGGGTGCTGGGAATTGAACCCAGGTCCTCTGGAAGAACAGCTAGTGCTCTAAGCCATCTCTCCAGCCCCCATCTCAGGATTTTAACATTTACTTGTGCAGTGATTAAGCTAAATATTCTTTAAATTGGTGGTACATTAATCAATTTGTCAGTGACCAAGTGTGTAGAATCCCCATGTATGCCCACCCACTGTGTCAAATCATTGGGTAATTAAAATGGTAATTATATTTATATAATTTATTCTTCCCTGGTTGGTTTATCAAACAACTTGAGAGTTTATTGATTGCTTATATTTTAATATATCTTTTCTTCTTCATGAATTATGGCTTTTGTCAATAGGGAAATTTTAGGGACTGTGAAGACAGCTTTTAAAGAAATGGATTGCAAGTTGCATGTGTCTCCTGACTCCTGGGTGTCACCATATCTGGGTACGTGACAGAGTGGACATTGAACATCTTCAGAGATGCCATTTTTATATCCCAGCAATATCTTGATACTTATTGGAAGTGACCACAAATCACAATATCCTACTAAATACAAACTAAAGAGTCTCCTTCTGTTTCCTCCTTACTTGAGCCCCAGAATGCTGGACCCCACCCAGGGTCCACACTCCCCCTGTTGTTTGCTTGCTTACCTGCGCCCCAGAATGTTGGGATGGTGCTGACTTTGCAGGAAGAATTCCTGAGGCAGTCTGAAGAGAAAAAGGCAGCAATCTTAATCAATGGGAACTGAAATAATGTCACAAAACACATTGTCCTGTGACCACACTTCCACAATCCCTCCAAGGGATTGGAAGAGGTCTGTATAGGAGAGGGCTGCACCTCAGCTTCCACAAATCAAATTGTTTAAGCAGTTGCATTAGTCATTTTACAGGTCAGGAGGTCAGAATCCACAGTGTTTCACCCTGTTAAAATCAAAGTGCTACATACTTCAGAGATTCCTTAACTTATGCAGCTTCTAGAAGCAACCTCCGTCCCCTAGCTGTGGCTCTTCTTCTAGCTTTAAAGCTGGACATTCAATCAATGCTTTTTCTCCTTCCTGGATTTCACTGCCATGACTGCATCTTCTCTGACTTTGTCTCAAGCCTTCTAACACCCACCCCCATGCTTCCGTGGAACACACTAAATTAATCCAGAATGATCTCCATATCTCAGGAACTTTGGGTAATCCCCTTTCCTTTGACTGATGGTAACTCAATAACATCTAGAACCACCTAGGAGCTAGGCCCCAGGGAATGCTTGAGAAGGACTATCCTAGGAAGATCCATCCACTGTGGGTGGCACCATTCCCTGCAAAGATGGACTGTACCCTTGAACTGTGAGCCAAAATAATTCTTTTAACCAGTAAGTTTTCTTCATCGAGTTATTTTATCACAGCGACAGAAAAAAAGAAACAACCTAAGATACTGTGCAAGGTTGCATATGTGTAGGTTCTAGGGATTGGGGGGCATATGCAACTTCTAAAGACTGGCATCTTGTTTATTTTGAGGGCCTAGAATCTTTTTGTTTTGTTGTGTTTGTTTGTTTGTTTGTTTGTTTGTTTTGAGACAAGGTTTCTCTGTTTAGCCTTGGCTATTCTGGACTCACTTTATACACAAGGCTGGTCTCACAATGCTCCCCCTGCCTCTGCCTCCCTGAGTACTGGGATTAAAGGCATGCACCACCATTCCCAGTTTGAGGGCTTTAAATTTTAAACTTCACTATAATCAGAAAAACATGCCTCTTTGTCTTCATCACCAACCACACATTTGGTTTCAAGTTCTGACTGTAAAATTTTTGGCAACAAGGGATACCTGCAATTAATTGCAACTGGAATAAGATAATGAAAAGCAAGAGTTTCTTCCATTGAGAAAAGAGAGCAGTGATATCTTTGGATAAATGCTTATTTTCATACTCAATATTTCTTCTGCAGAGTTAAAAAGGACCACAAGTGTGTCCTGTGGTAGTGGCAAAGAATCTATTCATGTGGCCAAGTTACTTCTTTATCCTTGAGTTCTCAGCACTTCCACACAAGTGCCAACCCATGGCTGTATTCAGGAATATTGGCTTAGTGATTCTCCACCCTAGCGGCACAATCTAACTACCTCAGAAGCTTAAAAATCACTTGTGCCTAGTCAAGACTGATTCAAAGTTGCTCAGAAATGAGTATAGAGGTCTATGTTGCTGCTCCAGAAATTCTAAGGTGTAGCCAGATCTAGGTGGAGAACACTATGTTAGATATGAGCAAGGCAAATAGAGGATTGCTTGGGGCAGGAAGGTTTCCTTTTCAGTAGGGGAGATAAAAGTCTAGGCTGTGCTGATTAAGTCTTCCTACATGGTCTCAGAAAATGCAAAAGATTTTTAAAAATACTAATGGGAACACTGATCAAAAGAGTATAACCTGATCAGAACCTGTTCTCTGAGCAGAAAGAGAAGTGTTCAGGGTAGGAAGGTGTTGTTGAAACACTGAGAACTTGAAAATGAAGAGACACATCCTTAGCCAGGCATGGTGATGCACACCTTTAATCCAGACTCTCAGGAAGAGGAGGTCTAGTCTACATAGTTAATTCCAGGACAGGCAAGGCTACATAATAGACCCTGTCATCATTTTGTTTCTTGTGTAGTACTACAGAATGACCAGGAGAGGGAAACATGCTCCTGAAAAGTGTAGCTCCCACAGGTCTCACTTCTCTAGCTGTGAGTCAAGTTGTGTCAAGTGTGAAGGTTCCTGGGTTCTCCTCAGACAGAATGACTGAGCAAACCACTGTAGCACCCATTCATCTGCACCACAGTTCGAACCAGCTCTATCCCCCAACACTTTGAAACACTTAAACCACAAGAAAATATATGTGTCAGGCAACATCATTTTGCAAAACTGGGGAAAAAATTTCACAGCATTTTCCTGAAGGAACCAGCACAACTAGAAAGTATCTCAAGCCAAACTTTCAAAATGAGAGGGTTTTTTTCCCCTTGTTAATTACAAAATAAACACCTTGGAACTTGATTTTTAAAAAAACAGGATGCATGCAGCTGGAACTCTGGGAAGAGGAAGACTGTTTTTCTTGGCCATGCCAGCATCATCAAGCACTATCCAGGCTTTCGTCACGGGAGGAACATTCATCCCACAGGAACACAGAGTGTATAGCACTAATTAACTTCCCTCTCACCGCTGCACAACAGCCTCGCCATGAAAATCCCATACAGGTGACTTGTGAGATGCTGGGCTGCAGGGGCACAGAACTACTGTACATGTTGATAAGATAAAAGATTTGTTCTGGGAGCTGCCTTAAGCAACTGCAACAGCTGCTCAGGAGATGAAGGTTTAGAAGGGGATGTTGAAGAATCAATAACCAACTACCAGTGTCCAAAATGCACTTGCTACCAAAACTGCTGACCTGAA